GAAACCCACCACCCAACAAAAAAAAAACACACCAACAAGGTGGAAAAACACTGTTCTAAACATATTGGGAAAGCAACTCAGTTATGGGGAAACCATGCCAGCCAAATCACATTTGAAACCAACACAGCATAACATCTAGGATAAAAGCTTAACCATGATTTCCTAAAGAACTTGCAACCCGACAGCGCACTAAGCCACAGCTTAGGGAGGTGTGTGACATCCAGTTCTTTGCATCAGCAATTAAAACATGAGATCAACTGTCATATTGGCTCTAGCAGGACAACGCGGTGTTAAAAGGTTGGCGCAAAAGTGGCCCGGGTTCAAGCATCCATGCGCCGCCACGGAAATTTTGACTAGTTTTTCTTCTAGCTTAGCAATCAGGAAAGAGGGGGGAAGCAAGCGGGTGGTGGAGGATATATAAAAGGAATCCATTAATCCAAGTTAGTGAGAAAGTGCCAAGCTGTTATTTTTTTTCTTCTTCAATTGAACAGGCACATTTTACACATTAGCACATGAACATGGAGCAAGACGTAGGCTAACTGGAAACTCTCCATCTTTCCATGAGTCCCAAGGAACATTTCTAGGCCCTTGGATCTCCCATAAATCGGTTTTGTTATTCCTGATGGGCTACGACCAGATCTTTACTAAAAATGGCACCTTCCACTTGCTCACATCAAGATCTGTTTAGCCCTGAATTTCCTATTCAGTTCTACACTGCATGGTCTTCCCTGTCAAACTTCACAGTTCGGTACAGATGCCAGAACTTCTACACAACTTTTGCAGAGCTGAACTCCATATGACAACACAGATCCCACATTGGGCGGAGAAACCTTCAGCTTCAAATAGCACATGGATTCCCACCTCTCCGAAAACCTAGGCTGGTCTGTTCATTTCTGGCTTCAGCACATTGTGTAAGGCTAAAATCAGAGAATTGTGGAGCTGCAAAGGATCCCAAAGATCATCTAGTCCAGCCCTCTGCAATGTAATGGGAAAATCAGTGAAACCATCCACAGGAAGGGTTTGTCCAGCATCTTCTTAAGAACCTCCCAGCGTGGAGAACCCACAATTCCATCAGTAGACGGTTCCATTACTGTACAGATTTTACAATCAGGATTTTTTCCCTTATATTTAAACAAAAATGATTGTGGTCTTTGAAACTACAGCTTAAAAGAAAACACTGTTAAAATAAATTACAGTCGAACATGTTGCGTGGCGAGATTCATGCACGGCACTAAGGCAGATTTTTATCTACGCTCTGTTGAATAAACTATAATCTGTTTGACACAACATGCCCGGTCAAAACCAAACAGATCTAATTACAGTTGGGGTGTTGAGTCAAACCAGACTTAACCCTGCATAATTGAAAGAAAGCCACCTTCATGAGCTAAAATCTGAAGCTCGTTTGCTTTAACCGTTGGGGAAATTCAACTTGTTTTTTTTCCCAGTTTTGGATGTCTTAATGCAGCTGTTGATCTAAACAGAAACAAAAGTGTTCAGATTCATCCTCACAGCCAAGCTGGAAGCAAGACTAGAATTCCTGTGGTTTATTGCCACATTTTACATGAATGCAAACAATCCCTGTTCGCAAAAACCTATGGAAATGTCCATGTTGCAAGACTGAGTAATATTTTGCTATGCCACCCTTAGCCAAAATGTTTATCTGGGGCAAACTGTTCTGGCAGCTTTACCTCCTCCCCAAAACTAAAGGTTCACACAAACGCGATGCCAAAACGTGGTTTGCTTAATTATGACTCTGGGTGTACTGTGAACCTAACTGTACATAGTTTATTCAGTAAACTACAGCTTGTGTGAAACAGCCTATACCAGTGTTTCTCAACCTCAGCGACTTGAAGACGTGTGGACTTCCACTCCCAGAATTCTGGCTGGGGAATTCTGGGAGTCGAAGTCCACACATCTTCAAGTCACCAAGGTTGAGAAACACTGCTCTAGAGTAGCCCAAAATCAGGAGAAGCCTGGTTTTGGCTCCTCTGTGATTTGCTGGCTGGGGAATTCTGGGAGTTGAGGTCCACCCATCTTCAAGTTGCCAAGGTGGAGAAACTCCGGCCTATACAATGACTCTGATCTTGTTGGAGAAAGGACAGAGAAAAACTCCACCACTTTTTCAGAGAAATCCCAACTCCTTCAGCCAAGAACTTTGCACAGCCTTCTTCACAATCAGCAACGCTTCCTGTTACCACATGGCTCAGCGTTCCTTGGTTGGACCAGATTCCTCATGGAAAAACCAGAATCAAATCCAGGGGCGTTCACAGGATATGGTCAAAAAAGTCAAGATGGTGCAATCAAAGCTCAGAACGTGACACC